CTCTCTCTCTCTCTCTCTCTCTCTCTCTCTCTCTCTCTCTCTCTCTCTCTCTCTCTCTCTCTCTCTCTCTCTCTCTCTCTCTCTCTCTCTTGTACACACACACACATGCCGACAGATGAACAGAGAGAAAATAGATACCGATGCACTTTGCATGTAGCACCTACAGTGGCACATGAGAGAGCCGGCGTCTCATGTAAGGTGTATATTATGATACGATTATTCACAATCAAAGGACAAGCTTGTTCTACTTAAGTTGCTAGCATGGAGTTAGTAGCACCTAAACCAAGTGTCTAGCTACCTAAGCTGTCAGCATCTACCCTCTGGTACACTTGGGCTGCTTGTGGATGTCCTCAATTATCTGCGTCATGACAACCTTGCTATCCAGCAGGATTTCTTTTCCATCGCATTTCTTTTGCTCTAATCTGTGCACGTCCTATAGCTTTGTCATGCAGAAGTGAGCTGTGCTTTATGACATTCCCACTCAGCCATGCACGAACAAAAAAAAAAGCTTGTAGATGTGTTTTTTTTAACTTTTTTCTTTTAGTTGATGTATAGGTGTTGACAACTTGACAGTCTAGTCAAACGATGGCGCTAGAAACAAAAAAAACTTTAGAAAAGACAACCAGTACAATCAGAGGGGTCGTGCTGATTGGGTGGACGTGATACAGAAACATACTGGTAGGGGCCGATCCTGAAGCTGTCTGTGTTTGTATCGTAAGGTCCAATCAGAGTGCCTTTGGCCTGGTAATTATCGCTTCCGAGTGTGACAAATACCCCTCTCACAATGACATCTGGGCAACGAGCCTCTGGGGCAAATTGGGCAGGAAATATTCTGCCAGTTGTTGGGACTACCTGCAGAGCACAAAGGCACAGGAAGGAGGAACAGGGAAGACAAGCGTGTGTATTAGAGAAACCCCTTGGGAACCTTTCAAGGTCCCGCATTCCATTAATCAAGGCTACAGTTCAGCCATCCAGATGGCCATTGTGATGGTGCGCTGCAAGGTGTCCAGATAACAGACTTTTTTTTAAATCTCAATTTCTCCGAAAAAAGAAAAAAAAAAGAAGTCAAAGAAAGGCTGGAAGAATGGGGGGCTCAGTCCGGTTGCTTATCACCGGCGAGGGGCTTTTTGCTTGGAAAAAAAAAAAAAAGGCTGGAAAATTCAGAGAAAAAAAAGGTTATGTACAACCACAATACAAATAACCTTTGCCTGCTTGGCTCTGCTTGAAATGCCCATCCCGATTCGATAAGGAGCAAACAGGGATGTACTATATGTGACAATTGCAATGGACTCAGTTCTCAATGCTCACCTCTCAAAAACAATTCCCATGCACAAATCCACACACGAAACTCGTATGAGAAGATGATCAAGAAAGAGGGGAGAAAAAGATTGTGAAGGAGAAAAAGATGATTATTAATGAAACTTTTATGAAAGTCAACCTTCTTCCCCTCCAGCCCTGGGAATTTCTCCAATCGCCTCCTCCCTGTTCAATAGGTGTGTCCCTCCGACAATCACCCAACACCGCTCCTCCTATCTTACCACACGCAACCACAAATTCTCTCTCCTCAAGCGCTGCTTCTCGCAAGCCTGCAAATTACAATGCAGCATTCCTCGAGAAGCAGAGAAGTCATGAACAATGAAGAGCATCAGCTAGAAGAAGACACCAGGTAAGCAAAGATTCCCCCTCAGGCCAAATCTCACCTTCAACCCACCTGCCCTCACTGTTTCTCACCTACAGTAAAGGAGGCAGCAGCCTCTCCTCCTCAACAGGCGGTCTCCTCTCAGCTATGGCTGTCTCGCCTATCTCCCTACTTTTGCCTGGCACAAGGTCCTCTGGCACGCGAGCTGCCGCATCAACTCGCCCAGGAAGCATGAATGCCCAAACCGAGGCAAAGTGTGCTTTTGTAACATTGACTTGATCTTGGCCTGCCTCCAGTTGGCTCTTCAAATGGCTGGGATTTTCTGGATCTGTGCAGCCAGAACCAGGTCACGGCATGTGTCTGCCCGAGAGAGTCCGGAAGTCTCTGAAACTGGGCTGAGCCGTTGAACTGTATGTGACCTGTGGCCAAGTTGACATCTGGAAGAGTCCACACTTCTAAGTGTTGAAGGTCACAGGTTCAAATCCTGTAGGATGCTGACTTCTTCGGGAGAGTGGCCGAGTGGTTAAAAGCGACAGACCGTAAATCTGTTGACGGTTATATTTCTACGTAGGTTCGTTGAATCCTGCATCTCCCACTTCGTGGCCTTCATACATTCATGAATTACATGTAATGTCTCACTTATTTCCAAAGATTAGTCAAAAAATAGGTTCACCTTCTTCACTCCAATTACCAGAAGTTTTTGGGGAAAACCTATGTGGTGAACCTTTTTGGTTTGGGATGCTCGAAACACTTCCGTATTAATACTGTTATTTTTTTATTATTTAATACTATTTATCTATTTATGTTGAAGTTACTGTATGTGATCTGTGGTGGCCGGGTTGACATCTGGAAAAGCTTTGACTCTTGGTCTACTGTGCCCAGGGGTTGGGCCTGCCTGTTTTCCTCAGGCCTGGTGCGACTTTTATGGGCCTCGGCCCTCGGGGGTATTTCTGAGCCCCTGTACCCCAGTCTGTTTGACCTGAGGGACGTCTCAGACGGCTCCTCACCCTAGACAATGACCATGGACCCCGGAACTCGGACTCCAACTCGGAGACACGACCGTAGACTCATTCGTAAGGCCCATTCACTCACTTTTCCTTGCGCTCTCCCCATCCCATTTTCCAGGTCCACCAATGAAATTCATTCTTGTTCTGCCTGTTTCTTCTCGCATTCCTCGAGGACCTTTCTTATATCCTGACACCATGTCGAGGACGGTTTCTACGATTTCCTGTCAGCTGAAGCATCCGTCTTTCGATGGGTTCCGACTCTGAACCCTTACACCACTGTTTCTGTTTTCTTTCCAGTCCAGTTCATCCTTGAACCAATGATGTGTACTAGCAATATGATCGATCTCATATTCTTCGATGCATAGGAGGAGCAATCATAGTCCAAGAAAACTCTGCGTTCTCTATATAGGGTAGTAGTAGTTTAGTTGCGTGAAAGACAGGATCAGTTCGGAGATGTGAGGGGATGCCTATCATATCATATAGATAAGGATCCATCGTATTTCCTACGACTTTGAGAACTTCCCAGGAACTGCAGTAGACTGGCAGCAACTTCTCTCACCCATCTTTGTGAACGGAGAATTAGTTAAGACTTCACCAAGACCAGGTCTGCTTCTTGAGATGCAGACGGTCTGCAGTGTTCATTTGGTTGCTCTTTCATTTTTTTTCTTTTGAGCTTTCTTCATCTTCTCCTTGACTCTTCCTGAATGCCTTGTGTGTAGGTAGAGCGTTACAAATTCTGCAGTCCCAGGTGCCAGTCGATGAATCTTTTCCCAAGTGGATCACGGGGTGCCCGCGGCCGCGGCCCTTATCTAGTGCATCAGCGTTCCTCCTGTAACAGTGTGAACTATGCTGTTATCTACCCTCTGAAAAGTGTCGGCAATAACGACAGTGAATTCTTCCTGAAAGAAGCAATCAATGCTGTCGGGCTCCCCGGGACGTAATGTCGGGAGGTATCAATGTGGGTTTTATGAAAAGGACTTGCCGGTGGAAAAGGAACTGGACTGAAGCTCCCCAGAATAGAAAGAGCACGGCACAAGAGGGCCGTCGTTTCCACAAAAAAGAAGGCAGTGGTCTTAGGAGGCCAATTAGATTTTGGTAGGAGGGCTTGTTCCGTTGGCAGACGAAACAAGAATTGTTCTTTTTCTTCAAAAATAAAACTCTGTATGTTTTTCTTGAATTCTATTATCAGATAAATTAGATAATGATAAGAATATATATTCATAATTCATTATCTTTTCAGATGCCTGATGAAATGTTTCTATAGAGGTTATACTACTTCCTTTTTTTTTTTCTTTTTTCTTTTTTTCAAGAAACAACCCGAGCCTATGCTAGGGATGCTGATAAGAGCAGACACCACTAGCACTGTCGGGGAGGCTCCATCTATTGGTGGGGAGCAGCACCTGCTGGAAATCGGGTCCAGCGTCCCTTATACAGAAAAGATGTCCAGTCTTACAGATTGATAAGAGTTCAAAAAGGGTAAAAACCACCTCTTCAGTCTTGATCAGACTGCCATATAGTACATGTCCTTCTAGCAGTTCTAATCCTTGTAATAATGATCAGTCATTCTTCCCCTCCACCAAACCATTGAAGTTCTACTAAAGCTAATTCTGAGGGAGGGAACACTTCAAAAAAACATGCAGCATCTCTGAGGAATTCCCCTGGCTGAATATCAAACCAGTCATTAAAATGTAACAAGTAATTCTTTTTGAGAGGCATCTCAGGCTCATTCTTTTTTTTTTTTTTTTTAATCTTTTTTTGTTTAACTTATGGACAGAACAAGTAGAGGTCCGCCTCTTCAGAGAGGTTATACTACTTCCATTTGCCCAATTTCTGAAATAAGCAGTTCACTTGTCCACTCTTCTGCTTTTTCTATGGTACGGCGCAGAATAGGCAAAGGACTTACAGGGCCTACTGCATCCTCTCCAAGGAATGATTGTCGAGGGGTTTAGGGGCCAGTTTGGTAGAGGCACTAGTGAAACCAATGGAGGTCAATGGTTGCTCTAGAGACACATGCAGTAACTGACAGCCTATAGCTGAGAGGAGCAAACCAGGGGCAGAATAGGTACGTAAAAGCCACACAAAAAGCTTAGCTGCAACAGGCTAACTTAGGCAGGGGTGAGGGGTGGTACATCCTTCCCGAGGGAAGCAATCAATGCCGCCCACTCGGGCCTCTCAACCGTAATGGGGAGGAGCGTGGAGTGAGTCAATCTTGTACTACTTTCTGACTTGCCGAGGGAATAGGAACCAGACTGCTGCTCCCCAGAATGGCAGGAGCCAGAACCGAGAGGTTCTGATAATAAAAAAAAAATCTCCTGCTTTTTCTACAGGATGAATACAGTATAATGTAATTTATATTTCGAATTGGTATGGAAATTGCATCTATCTCACGTAGTTGATTACATCTTCTTTCATCCCTTGCGATGCACATCTTTGTAACAGGAGGAAGATGTACACCAGCCTGTCACAAAGATGGGCATCGAAAGAAACGAAAGCTGTAATAAACTATGCGAGAACCTGTTCTGTCTGCCGATGGAACAAGCCCTCTAGCATCATGACATTCACCCATCATTATGTTCGTCGTGGATTCACTCTGTGCTTCCATCCATTATGGCTGAACGACTGTGAGACAGCGGCAATGATTGCGTCCTTTCAAGGAAGGATTTATCCCTGCAATGTTAACCTCCTTGCTAAGTCCTCTCAGTCCCCTGGACTGCTGGAATTACTCTAGATTTCTAGGGCTGACTTAGCTGGCTACCATCTTCACCCGAACAGAACGCCCGGTCATTTGGCACAGCTTTCAGTCCAGATGCAGCAATAATTACCCGGCGAATTATTCGGGTGAAGACGGTAGTGCAGGAATAGCCATTGTATTCATTGCTTCCATTCTAGAAGGATTGACCCTTGGTCCCGTTTGAGGCTTGATCCCTCTCAATCCCCTCCTGTGAACAGCCAGAACTAACACTTTTAAGACCCTCACAGTTTGCAACTGCCAACTGGTAGTAGGATATGCTACTATGCAGAAAAACTAGGCCCATCCAAACCAGTTCCATGCCCTGCCTCTAATCTATTCTTTCCTTCGTTTATTCGGCTGAAATCTCTATTATAAGTAGGCTTGGGCTTGAGACTTGCATTAGAAATGAGAGTCAACTGGCATAAGACCAAAGGTCGGTGGCTGTCCGAAGAGGCCCTGCTCAGCCAGTAGACTA